CATATGATATGCTCTGGAAAGAAGGGTTACTTATTAAGTTGAAGTCATTGGGTATTGGTGGTAGAACATATAATTGGGTTATGAACTTTCTATTTGACAGGGAAATACAAGTAAGAGTTGGCACAGAAAACTCCAGTGTATATAAGGTGGAAAATGGAACTCCGCAAGGTAGTGTGTGCAGCCCATTGTTATTCAACATAATGATAAATGACATCTTCTCTCAGGTTGAACAAAGCGTAGGGAAATCTTTGTACGCAGATGACGGGGCTCTATGGGTAAGAGGCCGCAATGTGTTGCACGTCAGTAAGAAAATGCAAGCTGCAATAGCTGCTGTGGAAAAATGGGCAAATAAATGGGGATTTAAGTTATCTGTTGCAAAAACACAGGTGATCTGTTTCTCCTGGCGGCATAAAGTCACGCCTATTTCCATGAAGTTATATGAACAACCACTTGAGCAAGTCAAAACAATTAAATTTCTTGGGGTTTGGTTTGATGAGAAGTTCACCTGGAATACTCATTTAGATAAAGTTAAGAACATGTGTAAAAAGGTCATCAATATACTTCGTTGTCTGTCAGGATAATAGTGGGGAGCGAGCAGAGCAGCTCTACAAAATATATACTGGGCACTCATGAGATCCGTTTTTGACTATGGATGTGTAGCGTACATGTCAGCAGCAGAATCAAACCTTAAGAAGTTGGATGTATTACAAGCTCAGGCCTTGAGAATTTGCAGTGGATCAGTCAGAACATCTCCGGTGTCAGCTATGCAGGTGGAAATGGGAGAAATGCCGTTAAGAATCAGGCGAGTAAAGCTAATGTTGGCATACTGGGTTAATCTCCAGGGGCAATGTGATTCTCATCCTGCCAAGAGTCTCTTAATAGATTGCTGGGAACACAATGAGACAAATTTCACAAGTTTTGGGTGGATTGGTGATGCAAAGGCAGAAGTCATAGGATTACGACAATTAGACTACAGCCCTACAGTGTCACAGTCTTCCATTCCTCCCTGGTTATTCCCAACACCAATTGTAGATCTAAACATACGGCAGGAATTGAAGGATATGTCAAAGAAACTTCCAGCATGCAGTATAGTACAGAATTACTTTGATTTACATTTTTCAGACTCCATGTTTATATTCATAGATGGCTCCAAAGATCCTGATACAGGGCGTGCAGGTGCAGCAGTCTTTATCCCAGCAAGTGAGTCATATATCAAGAAAAGAATATCAGATCATGTGTCAGTGTATACCACAGAGTTGACTGCAATAGTACTGGCCCTGCAGTGGATAGAAGAGAGGGAAACAAATAATACTGTCATTGCATCTGATAGCTTGTCTGCTCTAATGAGTATTAAATCTGGCAAATCATCATTTAGATCCAATATTCTCAATGACATATTCCTTATATTGTACAGGATGGAGCTAAAAGGATTATCCACATGCTTCCTTTGGGTTCCTGCTCATGTTGGTGTGGAGGGAAATGAGCAGGTGGATATTCTGGCCAAAGGAACACTCAAAATCAAACATGTAGACCTAAAAACCCCATTAACTAAAGATGAAGCTAAGACATTTATCAGGACCTATGCACAATCAGTTTGGCAGGAGCATTGGGACAATAGTGAAACTGGAAGGCACCTATATAATGTACAGAGACAGGTTGGTGCCGGAAGGATGGTGGGCTGGAAACGTAGGGAAGAAAATATAATCACTCGTCTGAGAATAGGACATACAGGTCTGATGTAGTATTTAAAATTACATCCCTTGAAAGTGTCTAATATTTTCACTGAATTTGCTGATTTCAGATGGATGTTAAAAGGAAACTTCCTGTTTCCACTGACTCATTTCACTTCACAGTGACAGCAGACCACCTCAGGGTGACCCTCTGTCAATATCAGAGCAATCTGATTAGTATTTTAAAGTTACAGCCCTTGAAAGTGTCTAATATTTTCACTATTTGCCAATATTTAAATTTACTTAAAAAGGAAGTGCAATTCGAAATCAGTGCAAGACTCCAGCAAGATGAGAGGAGGTGTTTTTACATCGATTACTCTTGGTGCTCAAACGCAGTCAAGATGGATGTATACGTGTATGTAGACTATTTATGTAGCCTATATAAATAGCCTAATTGTAGCCTAAATATTGAATTATTTTAATATATTACCATATTTTAATATAGGCCTACACTTAAATATATGTTGTGTGTGTATCATGAATGAACTACAAATTTCGTTTTGTTATGCAGCCTAGTGCTGTAAAATGACTAATAAACAACCTTGTATGTGTTCTCTAAACCTTGTAACGTTGATATATAATTGTCGCATATGTTGACATCCTTGCAGGTATACAGATGAAATAACCTTTAATTAAAAAACAGTGGACCTATAATGTAACACGGTAGTAAGAGCAGGGAACCTGAGGGCTATGCCTACAGAAGCTTAGAAACGAACAACAGAACAACCAGCTGACCAAGATGAAAGACAGAAAGGGGTAAAAACCATAGAAGGCCTACACAGTCACTACTAGTAGGCCTATGAAAGAGGTATTGGCTTCTGATCCTCAAACTTGAGACCTCTATTAAAATGAATGAATTATCAGGATGATTCTTTTGTGGCTGTCCACCTCCACAGTTTGTCTAGTTAGAACAATTAATGATGTTGGTAATCTGTCCAATCCAATGACACTGTCAAAGTCTTTGTTCTTGTGACTTGTTTATTGTAGAAATGGAAATCTAGTATGAGCAGAAGTGTGTGTGTGTGTGTAACAGTAAACAGAGACTGGGACTATGTTGTTTTCTTCATTTGTTGAAAAAGGTCTTATGTTGTGAGAGTACCCTGACATTCATCTTTGAAATTTAAACCTTGTCCTTTGTTGATCCAATGTGAAATGTGTGAAAGGTGGTTCCATGAGCAGTGCCTTGCTATGGACAACAGAGACCTGAAGAAAGCAAGAAAATCAAAGTGGAATTGCTCTGTGTGCCTGTAATACATCGCATCCCACCAATATAGCTTGTATAGACAAGGAAGTAACGTGAATAAAGAAATGATCCAAGATACACACATATGCACATTTTGAACAATTACATATTTATTTGTAATATATACACATAGCTTACTTTTATTTTATAAAGATGTTTAATATTTTGTCTATACACATCCATGTGTGTATATATATATATATATATATATACGTGAGAGGGCCCAGCCGTCATCCAGCTCCTACCATCAGACCCAAAGGCAGAGTGTCGCCTCTCGTGCTCCCACTCAGCATACTCGGGTTTCGAGGCGGCGCTCTCACCCACAATCCCCTGACACGAGGGATCTGAGGACCATTCTTCAGTCTCGCCGGGGCCGGGGGAAGAGGTCCTGAGGGTTCTACCGGGGGGTAGAACAGGAGTAGAACAGGAGTTTTCGCTCACATACCGTGGGTTGTCGGCTGAGTTTCTCTCGCTGCTGACACCCGCCCAACAGACTACGTTCCTAGGGGTGGTGTGGAACTCGATGACGATGCGGGCCCATCTGTCGCCTGCACGCGTCGGGTCCATTGTGTCCTCAGTAACCAGGATAAAGCTAGGCCGCTCCATCACTGTGAAAAACTTTCAGAGAGTGTTGGGTCTCATGGCAGCAGCGTCTAACATAATCCCGTCTGGCCTGCAGCACATGAGAGCCCTGCAGTGGTGGTTAAAATCCAAGGGATCCGTTACGGATTTCCCCTGATACGGATTACGAGCAGGTGCCTTTGTTCCCTGTATGGAAGTTGGAAGAAACCTTTGTTCCTGTCCCAAGGGCCCGTGTTGGGAACGTCATGTCGCCGGACAATTATTCCGACAGACGCAAGTTCTACAGTCTGGACCTGCCTTCTGCACCCGGCACCCGTGCGCTCTCCTCCTAGTCGTGCCATCAGGTGCTGCACGCTGGGGGCAGGCAGGGTTTCGGCGCGGCCTAAGTGGGTATTCTCGTTCCCATAGTGTCGTCACCGACGCAGTTCGAGTTCCCTCGAAGGGAAACGTCTCGGGTTACGTATGTAACCCTTGTTCCCCAAGAAGGGGAACGAGACACTGCGTCGGTCCACCACACCTCACCCCGCCTGTAGTGCCTTGCTTCACAGAAAAGGGCTAATGTCTCCTGTGTGCCGGCGTGCTTATATACGCCTCCAGTTACGCCGTCACACGCTACCGTTCTAGCAACACCAATAGGATTGGAGTAGTTTCATTCATGTTTCAGCCCGGTTCACGCCCAGAAGCATTCTCATAGTGTCGTCACCGACGCAGTGTCTCGTTCCCCTTCTCGGGGAACAAGGGTTACATACGTAACCCGAGACGTTTCCTTTTTATGTCAATTTGAATCTTTGCAAATAGCGAAAATATTACACACTTTCAATGGCTGTAATATTAAAACCAAACATCAGATTACTCTGATATTGACAGAGGGTCACCCTGAGGTGGTCTGCTATCCCTGTGAAGTGAAATGAGTCAGTGGAAACAGGACGTTTCCTTTTTACATCAATTTGAATCTTGGCGAATAGTGAAAATATTAGACATTTTCAAGGGCTGGAACTTTAAAATACTACATCAGATTGCTCTGATATTGACAGAGGGTCACCCTGAGGTGGTCTGCTGTCACTGTGAAGTGAAATGAGTCAGTGGAAACAGGACGTTTCCTTTTTATGTCAATTTGAATCTTGCGAATAGCGAAAATTTTAGACATTTTCAAGGGCTGTAATTTCAGAATACTACATCAGATTGCTCTGATATTGACAGAGGGTCACCCTGAGGTGGTCTGCTGTCACTGTGAAGTGACATGAACCAGTGGAAACAGGACGTTTTCTTTTTACGTGAGTTCGAATCTTGGCTGAATGTTTTAAGCTTTCTGTGAGACTAATATTTTCTTTAGATACTTGTGGTGTCTTAAGCATTTATTTATTTATTCAATCGTTTCTGCCACATCAATTGCATTATGTTCAGCAGAAGCTCACTTTTATTTTGAAATGTGCTGCGACACGTAATACCTAGAAAAAACACGCATCACAAAACAGCGCGAGGGCTGGCTTGACTTCAGTCTGTAATGCACCGTTAAACTGGTTTGCCAATCGCCATTAAACCAAGAAGAAGAACGAACTCGGAATTGAGAAACAGCTATACTCACCTATATAGTGAGTAGTGGGTGATTTCGGACACAGCCGCAGTGATTTAGTCGTAAAATATTTGAGGCCTTGACGCGGAGCTAATGAGGCTAAAAGCTGTGAAATCGACGAAAGTTGAATATAAAACCGGGATGATTTGTCTGTTGGTGTTCCTGTTGGCCCGTCTGTCTCCAGCTTCTTCAGGTAAAAACCTTTTTTATATACAGTCCATGATAAAGACACGTTTTTAAAGACTTATTAGGATTAAGATTAACTTGTGACACAGCTTCGTACCATCGATCACCTTTATCTTCCGCTATCTTCGCCATCGTTACCAACACCGGCCTGCCAGTCAACATTTGTATCACATATCGTTATTTATCTGACGTCGAGTTTCTGTGAGATGAACAGTTTGTCAGACAGTCTGTAAGTGAAACAGTCTGGATGTTTAGACTCAGCCCGAACAAAGCGTGCAGTCAGCTGTGGCCACGGTAAATGCTCAAGTTAACTTGTGATGCAACAGCTGGATCTACCGTCGCTCATTTAGCGCGCGCACACACACACGCGCACACACACAGAAGTTGGAAGCAGGGGTGGTATTTACGATGTAGCATGGTCACTACTGGTGTGTGAGTAGGTCTGCACAACACAAACCCAGAATAATGCACATGCAGGCCTAAATATCTGCAACGTTGTTCTTTCTCTGTATCATCTGTATGTTTGTCCTCTCCGCGACTCCAACAGCTGGAGAAGATGAGCTTCCCCACAGACAAAGCTGTAGTGGCATTAGCGGCCTCAAAACAGCTAGATGGCTGTGGAGGTATCAAAAGGGAAGGGCCCTCCGCCTAGAACCTAGCAAACCTGACACTCCTGTACTGAAACAGAGTTTGCTCTTGTGCAGTAAACTGGACATACGCTTGGGTTTTGCTGAGCTTCAATATTAGATTTCCCCTGAGGGCTACTTGTTGATCAGGATTCCTGTAGAAAAGTGGGAAGAAAGACAGAGTTGTGTGTAGATGCAAACTTGACTTTTCTGGAGACAATATCTGTCATAAAATGTAAATAGGTAACTGGCTTATCCAGGTAAGGAGTAACTTTGTGACGTCAGGTTTAACTTCTCGATTAACCCGTACTACGGAAGGTGGATAGGTGTTAACCGAGGTCTGTTGCCAAACTGCACGTGGACTACACACCGCATCTGTACTCCGTGATAATGATGTGAAGTAGGATATTAATACACACCACTTCATAAAACATGTTTAGATTACATCCTGACTTGTTCCACTGTGGTTGCAGCTGAAATTAAGTTAGGAAACGCATCCTTGCGTTCATACAGCGAGGCCTGCAGCCTCTGTGATTTTAGAGAGGACATCCTAATTAATTAATGGGACAGTTTCTTAGATGTAGCCCATCTGTAGGCTGTAATTGAAAGTGTTTTCACATAATTAGATTACCTACTTTAAAGTCACAAAAAATCAAAATCACTTGTTTTCTTCTGAAAACGCTTAATTCACAGCAAAGTCTCTAAGATGCAAGATAATATAGTGATTGTGGACTATCTCACCTATTTCCTCATTGTGAAGTCCAATATAATTTCCCAATGCATGCTTACTACACGGCAGACGTGTGTGTGTGTGTGTGTGTGATGTTGCAGCCTTGCAAAGTGAAGTTTCTCTCATAAATGTGTGACTATAATGACATATATAAAATATATTTTTTTACTTTATTATTATTTTAAATTCTGTCTGGATTATTCCCCCTCTCCTCTGGCTCCTTTTTTCTTATTACAATGGACCTTATGTGCAGCTGTACCTTTACATCATATTATATCACATAAAAGAAGAGTCCAGAAAATACATAATAGAGATTTGAACTACAATAAGAACACTGTGAAGATAATTAGACTACAAATTTACTAAATGCGATGCCAACAAGCCTCCCTGGCTTTGTCGGCCGCCGGTATTAGATTTGGCCGTTAACCATCTTTAATCTCCTCAAATCCAGACACTGTCAGTGTGGATTCCTCTGGAGAAATGTGGACCATGCGCCGTTGTGAAAAACTCTGCCTGCCCAGCTGAACACACCCCTTTTATGCGAATGCGCACCAACTCCAGTTAAGTTAACAAGGGGTTAACTAACAAACATCATATCCAACTTTGTAGTACTGTTTAACTCCAGTGTAGGCAGCCACAGTTTGTCAATCCTGACTTTGCCTGATAACAGTTAACTCTACTCAGAGTTGAAGGTTGAACTCCCTTCGTAGTACAGGCCACTGGTCTTCACCAGTGTCAAACAGCCATGCGTTTGTGTAGTGGTTGTTTAGTCTCCCCAATGAACAGGTCTGTGCATTCCTCACTGCATTGGACCGCATACACTAGATTGCTTTTCTTGTGTTTGGGTGTGCGGTCTTTGGGGTGGACCAGCATCTGTCTTAGTGTGTTCTTGGGTTTAAACTACACAAACGCATGGCTCAACACAGAAGGGCCAACTCCTCAGGTCAAGACTCTGCAGTCTACTTACATCTGAAGGACAGAGGACACTCGTTTGAGGACCACCAGGTGCACATTTTAGACAGAGAAGATGGATGGTTTGAAAGAGGTGTCAAGGAAGCATCTACACCAGGGTCGAGAAGCCGTCATTGAACAGGGGAGGGGGTCTACGCCACCACTTATCCCCCACTTACAATGCTGTCCTTTCATCACTTCCCAGGAAACTCAACAAACGTAACCTATTGGCCTCAGGTGAAGATACTTAACGATGGTCGTTCAGTCTTGGCCACAGGTAGTCTTAACGACTGTAACGACTGTCGTCACAGCAACAAGGAACACTACCGAACCAGCGGTATCGATGACCCGGGATAACGACCCCACTGAGGTTAAATAGCTGAGTTTCCCTGCCAGTCAGTCAGAACTGAAGAAGTCCTTTGGATGAGGGACGAAACGTCTTCCAGTATCTTCAACCAAGTCCAGTTGCCCTTGATTTTCACCTTCGTTGGATAACTCGTTTGAAATTATTACGGCCCAGCCCTAGTGGGCATAAAATCCTGTAACATCTCCACAGCTGTGACTAATTATTGAATGTTCCCATGATCTCAGGTGTGAAGAGGCCTTCTGTTTAAACAAAGATGTTCTCACTGTATCGTCCTGTGGAGTCCTTTTGAAATGTAATTACTTTTTCTCTCTGGATGTTTTTATTGTTTTTAGATGTGGTACGAGTGAAACCTGGAGATGATGTCATTCTGCCATGTCAGGCTGGTGAAGCCTCCATCAGAGCTGTAGAGTGGACCAGACCTGACCTGGAGTCAGACTACGTCCTCCTTTACAGAGATGGACGCTCAGATCCAACCCACCAGCATCCATCCTTTAAGGACCGGGTGCAGCTGGTGGACAGAGAGCTGAAGGACGGAGACGTGTCTTTAATTCTGAAGAACGTGAGCAGCAACGACGCTGGAACATACGAGTGTCGAGTTGCAGCAGGTGATTCAAGACGTAAGAGAGCCAACATTGAGACTGAGCCAATCAGAATCTACCAGCTGGAGGTTTCAGGTGAGTTTGTGGAGGTCAGTGTGTCTGTGTGCATGTTGTAGCTGCACTTTATTCCATGTTGATTCTGAGAGTCCAACATGAGGAATATAGAAGATATAGCCCAACCGATATATTGGCAGGCCGACATGAGCAAATTGCAATTAATCGACATCGGCCGTTTATAACCAGGGTTCCCGCAGCTCCTTAAAGATTTAAGACCTTGAAAGGTCTTAAATTGAAATCAGGGAAATTAAGGTCATAAAATTTGCTGTGTTTATTAAATTTGACGATGGTGCATTTAAGCCTATTGGGAAAATTGTCACGCACAGTAGCCTGAAACACCTAATTAGCGTGTATTTGTATGGTTTTCTTTTAGCAATTGACAATGCGAGACCCCGCCATTAATAAAACTCATGTTACGTTTACATTAGCTGCAGACGTTGACGTTTGGCTGCCTGACATATTATCGTCAGTCATGGCTGCAAGATTGGGAGACGCAAGTTAAAGTGGTTGGAGGAAGATCTGATCGTTCTGTCTAGTTCAAACACCTGTAGCCTACATCACGTCCTCCTCTCATTATCTGTAACTACAGGTTAAAATAACTTTCTAAAGTGTGTCTTTCACCGTGATTTGTTTTCCTCCATGGATTATTTACCTCTCTTTAGCAGTGCGCCTGTGTATTAGTTCGGCCAGAAAGTGAAAGTGAAACTTAAATTCGGTCCGACATCGTTTTCTTGTTACCTATCGTCATAATGTGTAAGTTACTCTTTTCTGTTATTTTAGTGGTTTATATTGAGTTTAACACATCAGTTTATGAGTAAGGGATGGGCGACATGAAAAAAATAGTAAAATCATTATTTAATCATTATTTTTATTATTATAAGTTTAAAGGCTGATTTTTGCTCCTGAAGAAACCAGATGGTTAATTGTGCTTTTAATCTTTTCTTTATGGTCAGAACATGACAAACACTTGATGCCAAAAAGCAGCCTGGTATCAAACAGTGGATCACTTCACAGAGCTGAGGCAGAACATCCAAAACAACAAATATGCATGAAAATTTCCTCAATTAAATAAATATCTTAATAGAAAAGTGCTTCAAATAATTTAAATAAATTTTTTACTGAACTTTTGTATACTTTTTTGAGGAAGATTATATAACTAGAATTAACATTATTGTTTTATTGCCCAGCTCTGGTTCACGTTCATAAACGGACACGATCAGTTCACCAAAAACATGAGCAAGATCAATAATCTACACAATTTGAGCACGTTTATGCACAACACTGAATGTCCAGGCGCATGCCTGCGCTGTCAGACTTTTGGATTTTATTTGCAGAAGACTGCGACCAGTACATATTTCCACCCAAGTAGTTGTTGTATGTGGATAGACAACACATTTGCATCCATGTGGTCATGTTGTCCCTGACCACCTCCAGAGTTCGTTTTGCTGATCGGATCACAATCTGTCCTCAATGTGTCCTCGGGTGCATTTACTACCCGATCACAATCACCCAAAATACATTTTAATGCCAGGTGTAAACAGCCTCTATGTTCCCCGATTCGGAATATGCAAAGCCATTCACCTGTGGTGAAAATAAAACTGCCAAATATGGCATTGCGTCATTCATTAAGAGAGCAATGGGATAGGGATGGAGGTGTTTATGGGGGGAACTGTGCTAAAATATATACTTCTAATCATTTATCACCACTGATGAACCCCACCAAGAATAATTTATCGCTTTTAAACGGTACTCGGAGGTGCAGACGATGCTCGGCGGACAGGCAGACCTCTGTACAACAGTCCACCGCTGGTGTTGTGCAACTAGTGCACCGAGCACAGCCCCCCATAAACACCTCCATCCCTCAGTCCAGCTGCAGCCTCGTTCTGTGTAATGGTATCGCCATGTCTTTTCTCGCCCTGAACACAGTCACTCATTACAGTAATAAATCTAAGATTATCTAAGATTGTCCATGTGGCAAGTTTAATGTTGACACTGCATAAAGTCAGCTAAACAACAAGGCAGAGCATCACTTTCCAACTTCACACATGTCCTCTTTTGTGCGTTTTGCTCCAAAGTATTGTCACCCCCAAATTAACTTCTCTAACAGGTTTTGACTAATGTGCATGACTCTTTTTAAAAACTGGTCAGCATACCCTCCCGTTCAGTTAACATCATAAGCACAGCTGTGCTAATTAGCTTAACGAGCTAAGCTAACATGCTATTTATGCTGACAACAATACCTGCAAATTATTGCTAACACATAAATGAAATACTACAATTGCACTCACCGAAACACCTGGAATACTGAAATGCCACCTTACCAGCTTCTGTGCGGACACTTGGTACAGACAGTAGCAGTGAGTCTTGCGAGCGTAAAGAATAAAGTCCAGCCGCTTTAGGTTGAATATATTCACACAGATCGTACAAACGCAGAATACCCTTATAAATGAACATATACCAATGAGTGAGTCTACGATTCTTCAGTGCTGGCCAGCCCACACGTGTGTAAAGTTCACAGTGGTGTTTGCAAGGCTTACAGTTTGTGATAAACCTCTATGAGGCATGATAAACAGAGTCCAGTAGTTTCAATACTTGGGTTGGGGCATTCATATAAATGAGGTCACCATAATCCAGAATGGATGTAGATGTTGCAGATACAAGTTTCCCTTTAGCATTAAAAGAAAAACATAGCCTATTTCTAAAGTAAAAGCCAATTTTCAGTCTCAGTTTCCTAACCAAATGTTCAACATGTCCTTTACAACTAAGACTGTCATCAATTAAAATATCTAGATATTTAAAAGATTTAACTCTTTCGATTTCTGCCCCTTGAAGAGGACTTATCTGCAGATTGCTCTTTGTTTTTGAGAATAACATCAACTTGCTCTCATTTACATTTTTAAAAGCGTTTTGTAATGTAGAGACACTGGCACTAAGTTTTTGCAAAGCTGTAGATAACCATATCATCAGCATAAAAATGGTAATTGGTGTCCAAGATCCTGGCCAACATTGTTCACATAGTAAATAAATGTGGCCACAAAACAGAGCCTTGGGGCACTCCTTTAGTTAATGAGAGAATATTAGAACAATTATTATCTGATTTAACACATTGGGACCTGTCAGTGAGATAATTACAGATCCATCCAACTGCCTTTTTAGATAATCCAATGTTGATCAGTCACTCTTTGAGTAAAATGTGGTTTTCAGAGTCAAAGGCTTTTGACAAATCAATGAAAAGCACTGCACAATGTTGCTTATTGTCAAGAGCTGTCGAGATATCGTTGATCACCTTCAGTGTTGCTGTTATGGTACTATGACCTTTCCTAAAGCCTAAAATTTTTGATAAGATGCAAAGTTTTGAAATCGGCCTGTAGTTATTTAAAATTTTTGGGTCACCACCTTTAAATAATGGTGTGACAAAAGCCGATTTCCAGATTTTGGGAATTTGCATAGTGCTCAGACTTAAGTTAAAAATATCAGTCAAAGGTTTTGCTATTAAATCAGCTGCAATTTTTAGAAAGTAGGGATCAATTAAGTCAGGTCCTTGTGGTTTACGTGCATCTAATGATTTTAGTGCTTTGTGGACTTGACACAAAGTAAAAGGCTGGAAACTAAATGTTGATGCATCAGAGGGTTGTTCCGTAGCAGTCCCAGTGTTGCTTGAGTTTGTGGATGGTGTAGATAAAATAAAATGTTGGTTGAAACAATTTAACATTTCAACTTTGTCATAAATATGTAAAGAGTTATGGACAATCTAATTTGGCAAGACTTGTGAGTTATTTTCTGCAAGGAGAGATTTTATAGTTTTCCAAAATCTTTTAGGGTCATTAAGACTGTCAGTTTTAGTTGACACGTAGAATTCGGACTTGGCATTTTTAATTTGGGAGGAACTTTTATTTCTTAATTTTCTGAAATTATCCCAATCGCATTTTAAACCAGTTTTTTTGCTTTTGCCCAGGCTAAGTTCCTCTCATGTAAAGCATTTGCCAAATTTGGTGTAAACCAAGGACTATCTCTACCTTTAACTCTAAATTTCTTAAAGGTTCTATGAAACACTCATAGAAAAATTACCAAGCTGTTTCAACATCTGGAATGAGGTCAGTTCTGTTCCATTGGCACTTAGAAAGGTCATGGTAAAATGCCTGTTCATTGTTTTAAATCTCTTTTTATAATGACTCGTGGTTTTCTTTTATCAATTTTGGTATTTCTAACAGTGGCCACGATACAGTGGTCGCTGAGATCATTGCAAAAGACCCCAGTTGAACAGTATTTATGTGGGGCATTTGTTAAGATCAGATCAATCAATGTTGACTTTGAGAGACACTTAATATTTGGATGATTTTGAAATCATCAGAATTTGGGCTAAGCCAGTCCCAGTTTAAATCTCCAATTAGTATAGTTTCATTGGAATTGAGCTTAAATAGAAAATCCTTTAGTAATTGGAGTGCGTTTTGAGGTGGCAGAAGGAGGCCTATAACATCCCACAACATTTACATGTAAACCCTTGGCAATTTCAACCTTTAGCATTAAAAGTTCAGATTGTTTACAGAGAGATTCAGCTTGTAACAAATTTACATGGAGGGATGAGTTTATATAAATGGCAATTCCCCCACCTTTAGCTAGTCTTTCAACACGATAGATTTGAAAGCCATTTATGCAAACATCATTGTCAGATATAGATTTGTTTAGCCACGTTTCAGAAATAAAAACTATATCTGCTCCTGTTGACCTTACTCAGATTCGAACTTGGTCAATTTTAGGTAGAAGACTGCGAACATTAAGGTGAATTATTTTAAGGCCAGGTAAGGACTTAAAGTCAGATGGGGTTTGAACCTCTGGGCCAGGGTTTGGTTGTATGTTTCCAGATAGTAAGAGTAACAAAATAATTAGTCGTCTTTGGTTTCCAAAACGGTTGGGTATTGTGTTTTTAGACACAATTTCAATTGAAAGTAACATAATAGAGGTTTCATTAAGTGAAAAATAATCATATAAAATTAGTTGTTTTATGACCCAAGGTAGTAGGACACACAGATTTGTTAGTTTTGATATTGGCATTTTATACGTAGGGGCAGATGATTTGTTATGATCGTAGTTCACATCAACTTGGATATGTTCAAAAGTATGGGCTCCCGGCGTCTGTCCAAAATTAAATGTAGACAATTTATCATGACTGTTAGAATTATGACAAATGAGCAGAAGGCACAACAATACACTTGGAAAATGCATATTTAAATTGAAAGTCACACCAGGTAGGATCAGCAATTTTGGTATTGGAATTGCAGTCCAGAGCTAGCAGCCAGGCGGTGCAGGCCCAAGGTAGAAAAACAGCTAGCAGCCAGGCGGTGCAGGTCCAGGTTGGGGGAGGAGCAGCTAGCAGCCAGGCGGTGCAGGTCCAGGTTGGGGAGCAGCTAGCAGCCAGGCAATGCAGGCCCAGGGTGGAAAAACAGCTAGAAGCCAGGCGCTGCAGGTCCAGGTTGGGGAGGAGCTAGCAGGCTAGTTGCACATGTGCAGAGTCCAATTTGGAGTCGAGAATGTTTTAAACTGTAATATAAAAGGCTCAAGAAGGGCTTATATTAAGAAGGCATATATTAGCTGATTAAACAATTATGTGACCATAAAAAGATTGTTGAGTGTTTGGGACCAGCTCACAGTGACTGACCTGCTGTAATACTGCAGCCACTACCAAGGCTGACTGCTAGAGAGACGCTCACAGAGCTGCACACCAAGAACTGCAGGTAGAGGAAAAAAGATACCAGATTTAATAAAGTGTGGGAAATAATCTGAGAAGGAAATATTAATGGGGAAAGGATGAGGGCGGCCATGGCAGAGGTAAGTGACAAACAAATCTATAGACAGAGGTGTGTGTATGTGTAAACTTGACTTTTCTGGAGACAATATCTGTCATAAAATGTAAATAGGTAACTGGCTTATCCAGGTAAGGAGTAACTTTGTGACGTCAGGTTTAACTTCTCGATTAACCCGTACTACGGAAGGTGGATAGGTGTTAACCGAGGTCTGTTGCCAAACTGCACGTGGACTACACACCGCATCTGTACTCCGTGATAATGATGTGAAGTAGGATATTAATACACACCACTTCATAAAACATGTTTAGATTACATCCTGACTTGTTCCACTGTGGTTGCAGCTGAAATTAAGTTAGGAAACGCATCCTTGCGTTCATACAGCGAGGCCTGCAGCCTCTGTGATTTTAGAGAGGACATCCTAATTAATTAATGGGACAGTTTCTTAGATGTAGCCCATCTGTAGGCTGTAATTGAAAGTGTTTTCACATAATTAGATTACCTACTTTAAAGTCACAAAAAATCAAAATCACTTGTGTTTTCTTCTGAAAACGCTTAATTCACAGCAAAGTCTCTAAGATGCAAGATAATATAGTGATTGTGGACTATCTCACCTATTTCCTCATTGTGAAGTCCAATATAATTTCCCAATGCATGCTTACTACACGGCAGACGTGTGTGTGTGTGTGTGTGTGTGTGTGTGTGTGTGTGATGTTGCAGCCTTGCAAAGTGAAGTTTCTCTCATAAATGTGTGATTATAATGACATATATAAAATATATTTTTTACTTTATTATTATTTTAAATTCTGTCTGGATTATTCCCCCTCTCCGCTGGCTCCTTTTTTCCTATTACAATGGACCTTATGTGCAGCTGTACCTTTACATCATATTATATCACATAAAAGAAGAGTCCAGAAAATACATAATAGAGATTTGAACTACAATAAGAACACTGTGAAGATAATTAGACTACAAATTTACTAAATGCGATGCCAACAAGCCTCCCTGGCTTTGTCGGCCGCCGGTATTAGATTTGGCCGTTAACCATCTTTAATCTCCTCAAATCCAGACACTGTCAGTGTGGATTCCTCTGGAGAAATGTGGACCATGCGCCGTTGTGAAAAACTCTGCCTGCCCAGCTGAACACACCCCTTTTATGCGAATGCGCACCAACTCCAGTTAAGTTAACAAGGGGTTAACTAACAAACATCATATCCAACTTTGTAGTACTGTTTAACTCCAGTGTAGGCAGCCACAGTTTGTCAATCCTGACTTTGCCTGATAACAGTTAACTCTACTCAGAGTTGAAGGTTGAACTCCCTTCGTAGTACAGGCCACTGGTCTTCACCAGTGTCAAACAGCCATGCGTTTGTGTAGTGGTTGTTTAGTCTCCCCAATGAACAGGTCTGTGCATTCCTCACTGCATTGGACCGCATACACTAGATTGCTTTTCTTGTGTTTGGGTGTGCGGTCTTTGGGGTGGACCAGCATCTGTCTTAGTGTGTTCTTGGGTTTAAACTACACAAACGCATGGCTCAACACAGAAGGGCCAACTCCTCAGGTCAAGACTCTGCAGTCTACTTACATCTGAAGGACAGAGGACACTCGTTTGAGGACCACCAGGTGCACATTTTAGACAGAGAAGATGGATGGTTTGAAAGAGGTGTCAAGGAAGCATCTACACCAGGGTTGAGAAGCCGTCATTGAACAGGGGAGGAGGTCTACGCCACCACTTATCCCCCACTTACAATGCTGTCCTTTCATCACTTCCCAGGAAACTCAACAAACGTAACCTATTGGCCTCAGGTGAAGATACTTAACGACTGTAACGACTGTCGTCACAGCAACCAGGAACACTAACGAACCAGCGGTATCGATGACCCGGGATAACGACCCCACTGAGGTTAAATAGCTGAGTTTCCCTGCCAGTCAGTCAGAACTGAAGAAGTCCTTTGGATGAGGGACGAAACGTCTTCCAGTATCTTCAACCAAGTCCAGTTGCCCTTGATTTTAACCTTCGTTGGATAACTCGTTTGAAATTATTACGGCCCAGCCCAAGTGGGCATAAAATCCTGTCATGTCTCCACAGCTGTGACTAATTATTGAATGTTCCCATGATCTCAGGTGTGAAGAGGCCTTCTGTTTAAACAAAGATGTTCTCACTGTATCGTCCTGTGGAGTCCTTTTGAAATGTAATTACTTTTTCTCTCTGGATGTTTTTATTGTTTTTAGATGTGGTACGAGTGAAACCTGGAGATGATGTCATTCTGCCATGTCAGGCTGGAGATGTCTTCATCAGAGCTGTAGAGTGGACCAGACCTGACCTGGAGCCAGAGTACGTCCTCTTTTACAGAGGTCGACGCTCAGATCCAACCCAGCAGCATCCATCCTTTAAGGACCGGGTGCAGCTGGTGGACAGAGAGCTGAAGGACGGAGACGTGTCTTTAATTCTGAAGAACGTGAGCAGCAACGACGCTGGAACATACGAGTGTCGAGTTGCAGCAGGTGATTCAAGACGTAAGAGAGCCAACATTGAGACTGAGCCAATCAGAATCATCCAGCTGGAGGTTTCAGGTGAGTTTGTGGAGGTCAGTGTGTCTGTGTGCCATGTTGTAGCTGCAGTTTATTCCATGTTGATTCTGAGAGTCCAACATGAGGAATATAGAAGATATAGCCCAACCGATATATTGGCAGGCCGACATGAGCAAATTGCAATTAATCGACATCGGCCGTTTATAACCAGGGTTCCCGCAGCTCCTTAAAAAGTCTTGAAAGGTCTTAAATTGAAATCAGGGAAATTAAGGTCATAAAATTTGCTGTGTTTATTAAATTTGACGATGGTGCATTTAAGCCTATTGGGAAAATTGTCACGCACAGTAGCCTGAAACACCTAATTAGCGTGTATTTGTATGGTTTTCTTTTAGCAATTGACAATGCGAGACCCCGCCATTAATAAAACTCATGTTACGTTTACATTAGCTGCAGACGTTGACGTTTGGCTGCCTGACATATTATCGTCAGTCATGGCTGCAAGATTGGGAGACGCAAGTTAAAGTGGTTGGAGGAAGATCTGATTGTTCTGTCTAGTTCAAACACCTGTAGCCTACATCACGTCCTCCTCTCATTATCTGTAACTACAGGTTAAAATAACTTTCTAAAGTGTGTCTTTCACCGTGATTTGTTTTCCTCCATGGATTATTTACCTCTCTTTAGCAGTGCGCCTGTGTATTAGTTCGGCCAGAAAGTGAAAGTGAAACTTAAATTCGGTCCGACATCGTTTTCTTGTTACCTATCGTCATAATGTGTAAGTTACTCTTTTCTGTTATTTTAGTGGTTTATATTGAGTTTAACACATCAGTTTATGAGTAAGGGATGGGCGACATGAAAAAAATAGTAAAATCATTATTTAATCATTATTTTTATTATTATAAGTTTAAAGGCTGATTTTTGCTCCTGAAGAAACCAGATGGTTAATTGTGCTTTTAATCTTTTCTTTATGGTCAGAACATGACAAACACTTGATGCCAAAAAGCAGCCTGGTATCAAACAGTGGATCACTTCACAGAGCTGAGGCAGAACATCCAAAACAACAAATATGCATGAAAATTTCCTCAATTAAATAAATATCTTAATAGAAAAGTGCTTCAAATAATTTAAATAAATTTTTTACTGAACTTTTGTATACTTTTTTTGAGGAAGATTATATAACTAGAATTAACATTATTGTTTTATTGCCCAGCTCTGGTTCACGTTCATAAACGGACACGATCAGTTCACCAAAAACATGAGCAAGATCAATAATCTACACAATTTGAGCACGTTTATGCACAACACTGAATGTCCAGGCGCATGCCTGCGCTGTCAGACTTTTGGATTTTATTTGCAGAAGACTGCGACCAGTACATATTTCCACCCAAGTAGTTGTTGTATGTGGATAGACAACACATTTGCATCCATGTGGTCATGTTGTCCCTGACCACCTCCAGAGTTCGTTTTGCTGATCGGATCACAATCTGTCCTCAATGTGTCCTCGGGTGCATTTACTACCCGATCACAATCACCCAAAATACATTTTAATGCCAGGTGTAAACAGCCTCTATGTTCCCCGATTCGGAATATGCAAAGCCATTCACCTGTGGTGAAAATAAAACTGCCAAATATGGCATTGCGTCATTCATTAAGAGAGCAATGGGATAGGGATGGAGGTGTTTATGGGGGGAACTGTGCTAAATATATACTTCTAATCATTTATCACCACTGATGAACCCCACCAAGAATAATTTATCGCTTTTAAACGGTACTCGGAGGTGCAGACGATGCTCGGCGGACAGGCAGACCTCTGTACAACAGTCCACCGCTGGTGTTGTGCAACTAGTGCACCGAGCACAGCCCCCCATAAACACCTCCATCCCTCAGTCCAGCTGCAGCCTCGTTCTGTGTAATGGTATCGCCATGTCTTTTCTCGCCCTGAACACAGTCACTCATTACAGTAATAAATCTAAGATTATCTAAGATTGTCCATGTGGCAAGTTTAATGTTGACACTGCATAAAGTCAGCTAAACAACAAGGCAGAGCATCACTTTCCAACTTCACACATGTCCTCTTTTGTGCGTTTTGCTCCAAAGTATTGTCACCCCCAAATTAACTTCTCTAACAGGTTTTGACTAATGTGCATGACTCTTTTTAAAAACTGGTCAGCATACCCTCCCGTTCAGTTAACATCATAAGCACAGCTGTGCTAATTAGCTTAACGAGCTAAGCTAACATGCTATTTATGCTGACAACAATACCTGCAAATTATTGCTAACACATAAATGAAATACTACAATTGCACTCACCGAAACACCTGGAATACTGAAATGCCACCTTACCAGCTTCTGTGCGGACACTTGGTACAGACAGTAGCAGTGAGTCTTGCGAGCGTAAAGAATAAAGTCCAGCCGCTTTAGGTTGAATATATTCACACAGATCGTACAAACGCAGAATACCCTTATAAATGAACATATACCAATGAGTGAGTCTACGATTCTTCAGTGCTGGCCAGCCCACACGTGTGTAAAGTTCACAGTGGTGTTTGCAAGGCTTACAGTTTGTGATAAACCTCTATGAGGCATGATAAACAGAGTCCAGTAGTTTCAATACTTGGGTTGGGGCATTCATATAAATGAGGTCACCATAATCCAGAATGGATGTAGATGTTGCAGATACAAGTTTCCCTTTAGCATTAAAAGAAAAACATAGCCTATTTCTAAAGTAAAAGCCAATTTTCAGTCTCAGTTTCCTAACCAAATGTTCAACATGTCCTTTACAACTAAGACTGTCATCAATTAAAATATCTAGATATTTAAAAGATTTAACTCTTTCGATTTCTGCCCCTTGAAGAGGACTTATCTGCAGATTGCTCTTTGTTTTTGAGAATAACATCAACTTGCTCTCATTTACATTTTTAAAAGCGTTTTGTAATGTAGAGACACTGGCACTAAGTTTTTGCAAAGCTGTAGATAACCATATCATCAGCATAAAAATGGTAATTGGTGTCCAAGATCCTGGCCAACATTGTTCACATAGATAGTAAATAAAGTGGCCACAAACAGAGCCTTGGGGCACTCCTTTAGTTAATGAGAGAATATTAGAACAATTATTATCTGATTTAACACATTGGGACCTGTCAGTGAGATAATTACAGATCCATCCAACTGCCTTTTTAGATAATCCAATGTTGATCAGTCACTCTTTGAGTAAAATGTGGTTTTCAGAGTCAAAGGCTTTTGACAAATCAATGAAAAGCACTGCACAATGTTGCTTATTGTCAAGAGCTGTCGAGATATCGTTGATCACCTTCAGTGTTGCTGTTATGGTACTATGACCTTTCCTAAAGCCTAAAATTTTTGATAAGATGCAAAGTTTTGAAATCGGCCTGTAGTTATTTAAAATTTTTGGGTCACCACCTTTAAATAATGGTGTGACAAAAGCCGATTTCCAGATTTTGGGAATTTGCATAGTGCTCAGACTTAAGTTAAAAATATCAGTCAAAGGTTTTGCTATTAAATCAGCTGCAATTTTTAGAAAGTAGGGATCAATTAAGTCAGGTCCTTGTGGTTTACGTGCATCTAATGATTTTAGTGCTTTGTGGACTTGACACAAAGTAAAAGGCTGGAAACTAAATGTTGATGCATCAGAGGGTTGTTCCGTAGCAGTCCCAGTGTTGCTTGAGTTTGTGGATGGTGTAGATAAAATAAAATGTTGGTTGAAACAATTTAACATTTCAACTTTGTCATAAATATGTAAAGAGTTATGGACAATCTAATTTGGCAAGACTTGTGAGTTATTTTCTGCAAGGAGAGATTTTATAGTTTTCCAAAATCTTTTAGGGTCATTAAGACTGTCAGTTTTAGTTGACACGTAGAATTCGGACTTGGCATTTTTAATTTGGGAGGAACTTTTATTTCTTAATTTTCTGAAATTATCCCAATCGCATTTTAAACCAGTTTTTTTGCTTTCGCCCAGGCTAAGTTCCTCTCATGTAAAGCATTTGCCAAATTTGGTGTAAACCAAGGACTATCTCTACCTTTAACTCTAAATTTCTTAAAGGTTCTATGAAACACTCATAGAAAAATTACCAAGCTGTTTCAACATCTGGAATGAGGTCAGTTCTGTTCCATTGGCACTTAGAAAGGTCATGGTAAAATGCCTGTTCATTGTTTTAAATCTCTTTTTATAATGACTCGTGGTTTTCTTTTATCAATTTTGGTATTTCTAACAGTGGCCACGATACAGTGGTCGCTGAGATCATTGCAAAAGACCCCAGTTGAACAGTATTTATGTGGGGCATTTGTTAAGATCAGATCAATCAATGTTGACTTTGAGAGACACTTAATATTTGGATGATTTTGAAATCATCAGAATTTGGGCTAAGCCAGTCCCAGTTTAAATCTCCAATTAGTATAGTTTCATTGGAATTGAGCTTAAATAGAAAATCCTTTAGTAATTGGAGTGCGTTTTGAGGTGGCAGAAGGAGGCCTATAACATCCCACAACATTTACATGTAAACCCTTGGCAATTTCAACCTTTAGCATTAAAAGTTCAGATTGTTTACAGAGAGATTCAGCTTGTAACAAATTTACATGGAGGGATGAGTTTATATAAATGGCAATTCCCCCACCTTTAGCTAGTCTTTCAACACGATAGATTTGAAAGCCATTTATGCAAATATCATTGTCAGATATAGATTTGTTTAGCCACGTTTCAGAAATAAAAACTATATCTGCTCCTGTTGACCTTACTCAGATTCGAACTTGGTCAATTTTAGGTAGAAGACTGCGAACATTAAGGTGAATTATTTTAAGGCCAGGTAAGGACTTAAAGTCAGATGGGGTTTGAACCTCTGGGCCAGGGTTTGGTTGTATGTTTCCAGATAGTAAGAGTAACAAAATAATTAGTCGTCTTTGGTTTCCAAAACGGTTGGGTATTGTGTTTTTAGACACAATTTCAATTGAAAGTAACATAATAGAGGTTTCATTAAGTGAAAAATAATCATATAAAATTAGTTGTTTTATGACCCAAGGTAGTAGGACACACAGATTTGTTAGTTTTGATATTGGCATTTTATACTTAGGGGCAGTTGATTTGTTATGATCGTAGTTCACATCAACTTGGATATGTTCAAAAGTATGGGCTCCCGGCGTCTGTCCAAAATTAAATGTAGACAATTTATCATGACTGTTAGAATTATAACAAATGAGCAGAAGGCACAACAATACACTTGGAAAATGCATATTTAAATTGAAAGTCATACCAGGTAGGATCAGCAATTTTGGTATTGGAATTGCAGTCCAGAGCTAGCAGCCAGGCGGTGCAGGCCCAAGGTGGAAAAACAGCTAGCAGCCAGGCGGTGCAGGCCCAGGGTGGAGGAGCAGCTAGCAGCCAGGCGGTGCAGGCCCAGGGTGGAGGAGCAGCTAGCAGCCAGGCGGTGCAGGCCCAAGGTAGAAAAACAGCTAGCAGCCAGGCGGTGCAGGCCCAGGTTGGGGGAGGAGCTAGCAGCCAGGCGGTGCAGGCCCAGGGTTGAAAAACAGCTAGCAGCCAGGCGGTGCAGGCCCAGGGTGGAGGAGCAGCTAGCAGCCAGGCGGTGCAGGCCCAAGGTAGAAAAACAGCTAGCAGCCAGGCAGTGCAGGCCCAGGGTGGAGGAGCAGCTAGCAGCCAGGCGGTGCAGGCCCAAGGTAGAAAAACAGCTAGCAGCCAGGCGGTGCAGGCCCAGGGTGGAGGAGCAGCTAGCAGCCAGGCGGTGCAGGCCCAGGGTGGAGGAGCAGCTAGCAGCCAGGCGGTGCAGGCCCAAGGTAGAAAAACAGCTAGCAGCCAGGCGGTGCAGGCCCAGGGTTGAAAAACAGCTAGCAGCCAGGCGGTGCAGGCCCAGGGTGGAGGAGCAGCTAGAAGCCAGGCGGTGCAGGGCCAAGGTAGAAAAACAGCTAGCAGCCAGGCAGTGCAGGCCCAGGGTGGAGGAGCAGCTAGCAGCCAGACGGTGCAGGCCCAAGGTAGAAAAACAGCTAGCAGCCAGGCGGTGCAGGCCCAGGGTGGAGGAGCAGCTAGCAGCCAGGCGGTGCAGGCCCAAGGTAGAAAAACAGCTAGCAGCCAGGCGGTGCAGGCCCAGGGTGGAGGAGCAGCTAGCAGCCAGGCGGTGCAGGCCCAAGGTAGAAAAACAGCTAGCAGCCAGGCGGTGCAGGCCCAGGGTTGAAAAACAGCTAGAAGCCAGGCAGTGCAGGCCCAGGGTTGAAAAACAGCTAGAAGCCAGGCGGTGCAGGTCCAGGTTGGGGGAGCAGCTAGCAGCCAGGCAATGCAGGCCCAGGGTTGAAAAACAGCTAGAAGCCAGGCGGTGCAGGTCCAGGTTGGGGGAGGAGCTAGCAGCCAGGCGGTGCAGGTCCAAGTTTGGGGAGCAGCTAGCAGCCAGGCGGTGCAGGTCCAGTGTAGGGGAGCAGCTAGCAGGCTAGTTGCACATGTGCAGAGTCCAATTTAGAGTCGAGAATGTTTTAAACTGTAATATAAAAGGCTCAAGAAGGGCTTATATTAAGAAGGCATATATTAGCTGATTAAACAATTATGTGACCATAAAAAGATTGTTGAGTGTTTGGGACCAGCTCACAGTGACTGACCTGCTGTAATACTGCAGCCACTACCAAGGCTGACTGCTAGAGAGACGCTCACAGAGCTGCACACCAAGAACTGCAGGTAGAGGAAAAAAGATACCAGATTTAATAAAGTGTGGGAAATAATCTGAGAAGGAAATATTAATGGGGAAAGGATGAGGGCGGCCATGGCAGAGGTAAGAGTGACAAACAAATCTATAGACAGAGGTGTGTGTATGTGTAAACTTGACTTTTCTGGAGACAATATCTGTCATAAAATGTAAATAGGTAACTGGCTTATCCAGGTAAGGAGTAACTTTGTGACGTCAGGTTTAACTTCTCGATTAACCCGTACTACGGAAGGTGGATAGGTGTTAACCGAGGTCTGTTGCCAAACTGCACGTGGACTACACACCGCATCTGTACTCCGTGATAATGATGTGAAGTAGGATATTAATACACACCACTTCATAAAACATGTTTAGATTACATCCTGACTTGTTCCACTGTGGTTGCAGCTGAAATTAAGTTAGGAAACGCATCCTTGCGTTCATACAGCGAGGCCTGCAGCCTCTGTGATTTTAGAGAGGACATCCTAATTAATTAATGGGACAGTTTCTTAGATGTAGCCCATCTGTAGGCTGTAATTGAAAGTGTTTTCACATAATTAGATTACCTACTTTAAAGTCACAAAAAATCAAAATCACTTGTGTTTTCTTCTGAAAACGCTTAATTCACAGCAAAGTCTCTAAGATGCAAGATAATATAGTGATTGTGGACTATCTCACCTATTTCCTCATTGTGAAGTCCAATATAATTTCCCAATGCATGCTTACTACACGGCAGACGTGTGTGTGTGTGTGTGTGTGTGTGTGTGTGTGATGTTGCAGCCTTGCAAAGTGAAGTTTCTCTCATAAATGTGTGACTATAATGACATATATAAAATATATTTTTTTACTTTATTATTATTTTAAATTCTGTCTGGATTATTCCCCCTCTCCGCTGGCTCCTTTTTTCCTATTACAATGGACCTTATGTGCAGCTGTACCTTTACATCATATTATATCACATAAAAGAAGAGTCCAGAAAATACATAATAGAGATTTGAACTACAATAAGAACACTGTGAAGATAATTAGACTACAAATTTACTAAATGCGATGCCAACAAGCCTCCCTGGCTTTGTCGGCCGCCGGTATTAGATTTGGCCGTTAACCATCTTTAATCTCCTCAAATCCAGACACTGTCAGTGTGGATTCCTCTGGAGAAATGTGGACCATGCGCCGTTGTGAAAAACTCTGCCTGCCCAGCTGAACACACCCCTTTTATGCGAATGCGCACCAACTCCAGTTAAGTTAACAAGGGGTTAACTAACAAACATCATATCCAACTTTGTAGTACTGTTTAACTCCAGTGTAGGCAGCCACAGTTTGTCAATCCTGACTTTGCCTGATAACAGTTAACTCTACTCAGAGTTGAAGGTTGAACTCCCTTCGTAGTACAGGCCACTGGTCTTCACCAGTGTCAAACAGCCATGCGTTTGTGTAGTGGTTGTTTAGTCTCCCCAATGAACAGGTCTGTGCATTCCTCACTGCATTGGACCGCATACACTAGATTGCTTTTCTTGTGTTTGGGTGTGCGGTCTTTGGGGTGGACCAGCATCTGTCTTAGTGTGTTCTTGGGTTTAAACTACACAAACGCATGGCTCAACACAGAAGGGCCAACTCCTCAGGTCAAGACTCTGCAGTCTACTTACATCTGAAGGACAGAGGACATTCGTTTGAGGACCACCAGGTGCACATTTTAGACAGAGAAGATGGATGGTTTGAAAGAGGTGTCAAGGAAGCATCTACACCAGGGTTGAGAAGCCGTCATTGAACAGGGGAGGAGGTCTACGCCACCACTTATCCCCCACTTACAATGCTGTCCTTTCATCACTTCCCAGGAAACTCAACAAACGTAACCTATTGGCCTCAGGTGAAGATACTTAACGACTGTAACGACTGTCGTCACAGCAACCAGGAACACTAACGAACCAGCGGTATCGATGACCCGGGCCAACAACCCCACTGAGGTTAAATAGCTGAGTTTCCCTGCCAGTCAGTCAGAACTGAAGAAGTCCTTTGGATGAGGGACGAAACGTCTTCCAGTATCTTCAACCAAGTCCAGTTGCCCTTGATTTTCACCTTCGTTGGATAACTCGTTTGAAATTATTACAGCCCAGCCCTAGTGGGCATAAAATCCTGTCATGTCTCCACAGCTGTGACTAATTATTGAATGTTCCCATGATCTCAGGTGTGAAGAGGCCTTCTGTTTAAACAAAGATGTTCTCACTGTATCGTCCTGTGGAGTCCTTTTGAAATGTAATTACTTTTTCTCTCTGGATGTTTTTATTGTTTTTAGATGTGGTACAAGTGAAACCTGGAGATGATGTCATTCTGCCATGTCAGGCTGGAGATGTCTTCATCAGAGCTGTAGAGTGGACCAGACCTGACCTGGAGCCAGAGTACGTCCTCTTTTACAGAGGTCGACGCTCAGATCCAACCCAGCAGCATCCATCCTTTAAGGACCGGGTGCAGCTGGTGGACAGAGAGCTGAAGGACGGAGACGTGTCTTTAATTCTGAAGAACGTGAGCAGCAACGACGCTGGAACATACGAGTGTCGAGTTGCAGCAGGTGATTCAAGACGTAAGAGAGCCAACATTGAGACTGAGCCAATCAGAATCATCCAGCTGGAGGTTTCAGGTGAGTTTGTGGAGGTCAGTGTGTCTGTGTGCCATGTTGTAGCTGCAGTTTATTCCATGTTGATTCTGAGAGTCCAACATGAGGAATATAGAAGATATAGCCCAACCGATATATTGGCAGGCCGACATGAGCAAATTGCAATTAATCGACATCGGCCGTTTATAACCAGGGTTCCCGCAGCTCCTTAAAGATTTAAGACCTTGAAAGGTCTTAAATTGAAATCAGGGAAATTAAGGTCATAAAATTTGCTGTGTTTATTAAATTTGACGATGGTGCATTTAAGCCTATTGGGAAAATTGTCACGCACAGTAGCCTGAAACACCTAATTAGCGTGTATTTGTATGGTTTTCTTTTAGCAATTGACAATGCGAGACCCCGCCATTAATAAAACTCATGTTACGTTTACATTAGCTGCAGACGTTGACGTTTGGCTGCCTGACATATTATCGTCAGTCATGGCTGCAAGATTGGGAGACGCAAGTTAAAGTGGTTGGAGGAAGATCTGATTGTTCTGTCTAGTTCAAACACCTGTAGCCTACATCACGTCCTCCTCTCATTATCTGTAACTACAGGTTAAAATAACTTTCTAAAGTGTGTCTTTCACCGTGATTTGTTTTCCTCCATGGATTATTTACCTCTCTTTAGCAGTGCGCCTGTGTATTAGTTCGGCCAGAAAGTGAAAGTGAAACTTAAATTCGGTCCGACATCGTTTTCTTGTTACCTATCGTCATAATGTGTAAGTTACTCTTTTCTGTTATTTTAGTGGTTTATATTGAGTTTAACACATCAGTTTATGAGTAAGGGATGGGCGACATGAAAAAAATAGTAAAATCATTATTTAATCATTATTTTTATTATTATAAGTTTAAAGGCTGATTTTTGCTCCTGAAGAAACCAGATGGTTAATTGTGCTTTTAATCTTTTCTTTATGGTCAGAACATGACAAACACTTGATGCCAAAAAGCAGCCTGGTATCAAACAGTGGATCACTTCACAGAGCTGAGGCAGAACATCCAAAACAACAAATATGCATGAAAATTTCCTCAATAAATAAATATCTTAATAGAAAAGTGCTTCAAATAATTTAAATAAATTTTTTACTGAACTTTTGTATACTTTTTTTGAGGAAGATTATATAACTAGAATTAACATTATTGTTTTATTGCCCAGCTCTGGTTCACGTTCATAAACGGACACGATCAGTTCACCAAAAACATGAGCAAGATCAATAATCTACACAATTTGAGCACGTTTATGCACAACACTGAATGTCCAGGCGCATGCCTGCGCTGTCAGACTTTTGGATTTTATTTGCAGAAGACTGCGACCAGTACATATTTCCACCCAAGTAGTTGTTGTATGTGGATAGACAACACATTTGCATCCATGTGGTCATGTTGTCCCTGACCACCTCCAGAGTTCGTTTTGCTGATCGGATCACAATCTGTCCTCAATGTGTCCTCGGGTGCATTTACTACCCGATCACAATCACCCAAAATACATTTTAATGCCAGGTGTAAACAGCCTCTATGTTCCCCGATTCGGAATATGCAAAGCCATTCACCTGTGGTGAAAATAAAACTGCCAAATATGGCATTGCGTCATTCATTAAGAGAGCAATGGGATAGGGATGGAGGTGTTTATGGGGGGAACTGTGCTAAAATATATACTTCTAATCATTTATCACCACTGATGAACCCCACCAAGAATAATTTATCGCTTTTAAACGGTACTCGGAGGTGCAGACGATGCTCGGCGGACAGGCAGACCTCTGTACAACAGTCCACCGCTGGTGTTGTGCAACTAGTGCACCGAGCACAGCCCCCCATAAACACCTCCATCCCTCAGTCCAGCTGCAGCCTCGTTCTGTGTAATGGTATCGCCATGTCTTTTCTCGCCCTGAACACAGTCACTCATTACAGTAATAAATCTAAGATTATCTAAGATTGTCCATGTGGCAAGTTTAATGTTGACACTGCATAAAGTCAGCTAAACAACAAGGCAGAGCATCACTTTCCAACTTCACACATGTCCTCTTTTGTGCGTTTTGCTCCAAAGTATTGTCACCCCCAAATTAACTTCTCTAACAGGTTTTGACTAATGTGCATGACTCTTTTTAAAAACTGGTCAGCATACCCTCCCGTTCAGTTAACATCATAAGCACAGCTGTGCTAATTAGCTTAACGAGCTAAGCTAACATGCTATTTATGCTGACAACAATACCTGCAAATTATTGCTAACACATAAATGAAATACTACAATTGCACTCACCGAAACACCTGGAATACTGAAATGCCACCTTACCAGCTTCTGTGCGGACACTTGGTACAGACAGTAGCAGTGAGTCTTGCGAGCGTAAAGAATAAAGTCCAGCCGCTTTAGGTTGAATATATTCACACAGATCGTACAAACGCAGAATACCCTTATAAATGAACATATACCAATGAGTGAGTCTACGATTCTTCAGTGCTGGCCAGCCCACACGTGTGTAAAGTTCACAGTGGTGTTTGCAAGGCTTACAGTTTGTGATAAACCTCTATGAGGCATGATAAACAGAGTCCAGTAGTTTCAATACTTGGGTTGGGGCATTCATATAAATGAGGTCACCATAATCCAGAATGGATGTAGATGTTGCAGATACAAGTTTCCCTTTAGCATTAAAAGAAAAACATAGCCTATTTCTAAAGTAAAAGCCAATTTTCAGTCTCAGTTTCCTAACCAAATGTTCAACATGTCCTTTACAACTAAGACTGTCATCAATTAAAATATCTAGATATTTAAAAGATTTAACTCTTTCGATTTCTGCCCCTTGAAGAGGACTTATCTGCAGATTGCTCTTTGTTTTTGAGAATAACATCAACTTGCTCTCATTTACATTTTTAAAAGCGTTTTGTAATGTAGAGACACTGGCACTAAGTTTTTGCAAAGCTGTAGATAACCATATCATCAGCATAAAAATGGTAATTGGTGTCCAAGATCCTGGCCAACATTGTTCACATAGATAGTAAATAAATGTGGCCACAAACAGAGCCTTGGGGCACTCCTTTAGTTAATGAGAGAATATTAGAACAATTATTATCTGATTTAACACATTGGGACCTGTCAGTGAGATAATTACAGATCCATCCAACTGCCTTTTTAGATAATCCAATGTTGATCAGTCACTCTTTGAGTAAAATGTGGTTTTCAGAGTCAAAGGCTTTTGACAAATCAATGAAAAGCACTGCACAATGTTGCTTATTGTCAAGAGCTGTCGAGATATCGTTGATCACCTTCAGTGTTGCTGTTATGGTACTATGACCTTTCCTAAAGCCTAAAATTTTTGATAAGATGCAAAGTTTTGAAATCGGCCTGTAGTTATTTAAAATTTTTGGGTCACCACCTTTAAATAATGGTGTGACAAAAGCCGATTTCCAGATTTTGGGAATTTGCATAGTGCTCAGACTTAAGTTAAAAATATCAGTCAAAGGTTTTGCTATTAAATCAGCTGCAATTTTTAGAAAGTAGGGATCAATTAAGTCAGGTCCTTGTGGTTTACGTGCATCTAATGATTTTAGTGCTTTGTGGACTTGACACAAAGTAAAAGGCTGGAAACTAAATGTTGATGCATCAGAGGGTTGTTCCGTAGCAGTCCCAGTGTTGCTTGAGTTTGTGGATGGTGTAGATAAATAAAATGTTGGTTGAAACAATTTAACATTTCAACTTTGTCATAAATATGTAAAGAGTTATGGACAATCTAATTTGGCAAGACTTGTGAGTTATTTTCTGCAAGGAGAGATTTTATAGTTTTCCAAAATCTTTTAGGGTCATTAAGACTGTCAGTTTTAGTTGACACGTAGAATTCGGACTTGGCATTTTTAATTTGGGAGGAACTTTTATTTCTTAATTTTCTGAAATTATCCCAATCGCATTTTAAACCAGTTTTTTTGCTTTCGCCCAGGCTAAGTTCCTCTCATGTAAAGCATTTGCCAAATTTGGTGTAAACCAAGGACTATCTCTACCTTTAACTCTAAATTTCTTAAAGGTTCTATGAAACACTCATAGAAAAATTACCAAGCTGTTTCAACATCTGGAATGAGGTCAGTTCTGTTCCATTGGCACTTAGAAAGGTCATGGTAAAATGCCTGTTCATTGTTTTAAATCTCTTTTTATAATGACTCGTGGTTTTCTTTTATCAATTTTGGTATTTCTAACAGTGGCCACGATACAGTGGTCGCTGAGATCATTGCAAAAGACCCCAGTTGAACAGTATTTATGTGGGGCATTTGTTAAGATCAGATCAATCAATGTTGACTTTGAGAGACACTTAATATTTGGATGATTTTGAAATCATCAGAATTTGGGCTAAGCCAGTCCCAGTTTAAATCTCCAATTAGTATAGTTTCATTGGAATTGAGCTTAAATAGAAAATCCTTTAGTAATTGGAGTGCGTTTTGAGGTGGCAGAAGGAGGCCTATAACATCCCACAACATTTACATGTAAACCCTTGGCAATTTCAACCTTTAGCATTAAAAGTTCAGATTGTTTACAGAGAGATTCAGCTTGTAACAAATTTACATGGAGGGATGAGTTTATATAAATGGCAATTCCCCCACCTTTAGCTAGTCTTTCAACACGATAGATTTGAAAGCCATTTATGCAAACATCATTGTCAGATATAGATTTGTTTAGCCACGTTTCAGAAATAAAAACTATATCTGCTCCTGTTGACCTTACTCAGATTCGAACTTGGTCAATTTTAGGTAGAAGACTGCGAACATTAAGGTGAATTATTTTAAGGCCAGGTAAGGACTTAAAGTCAGATGGGGTTTGAACCTCTGGGCCAGGGTTTGGTTGTATGTTTCCAGATAGTAAGAGTAACAAAATAATTAGTCGTCTTTGGTTTCCAAAACGGTTGGGTATTGTGTTTTTAGACACAATTTCAATTGAAAGTAACATAATAGAGGTTTCATTAAGTGAAAAATAATCATATAAAATTAGTTGTTTTATGACCCAAGGTAGTAGGACACACAGATTTGTTAGTTTTGATATTGGCATTTTATACGTAGGGGCAGATGATTTGTTATGATCGTAGTTCACATCAACTTGGATATGTTCAAAAGTATGGGCTCCCGGCGTCTGTCCAAAATTAAATGTAGACAATTTATCATGACTGTTGTAAGAATTATAACAAATGAGCAGAAGGCACAACAATACACTTGGAAAATGCATATTTAAATTGAAAGTCACACCAGGTAGGATCAGCAATTTTGGTATTGGAATTGCAGTCCAGAGCTAGCAGCCAGGCGGTGCAGGCCCAAGGTGCAGCTAGCAGCCAGGCGGTGCAGGCCAGGTAGGGAGCAGCCAGCTAGCAGCCAGGCGGTGCAGGCCCAGGGGCAGCTAGCAGCCAGGCGGTGCAGGCCCAGGGTGAGGAGCAGCTAGCAGCCAGGCAGTGCAGGCCAGGGTGGAGGAGCAGCTAGCAGCCAGGCGGTGCAGGTCCAGTGTAGGGGAACAGCTAGCAGGCTAGTCGCACATGTGCAGAGTCCAATTTAGAGTCGAGAATGTTTTAAACTGTAATATAAAAGGCTCAAGAAGGGATATATTAGCTGATTAAACAATTATGTGACCATAAAAAGATTGTTGAGTGTTTGGGACCAGCTCACAGTGACTGACCTGCTGTCATACTGCAGCCACTACCAAGGCTGACTGCTAGAGAGACGCTCACAGAGCTGCATACCAAGAGCTGCAGGTGGAGGAAAAAAGATACCAGATTTAAAAAAGTGTGGGAAATAATCTGAGAAGGAAACATTAATGGGGAAAGGATGAGGGCGGCCATGGCAGAGGTAAGAGTGACAAACAAATCTATAGACAGAGTTGTGTGTCTGTGTTGCTTGCTGTGTGTACAGTATGCAATATTGTGATAATGATTTTATATATTGCATTGTGAATCTGAGATATATTTGGATTTTTATTGACTATATGTCTAATCATATATCTAAATAAATAAACTAGCATTAATATTTTATAATATTCCTGACATCAAAGTAAAGAGTGAAGAAGAAACGGCCCTATTAGATTTCAGAAAAATGTATGAAATGTTTTTGAATCTGGTATCTTTTTTCCTCTTCCTGCAGCTCTTGGTGTGCAGCTCTGTGAGCGTCTCCCAGCAGCTCAGTCACTGTGAGCCAGTCCCAAACACTCAACAATCTTTACATCTTTTCATGGTCACATAATTATTAAATCAGCTAATATATATTGTCTATGTAGAGGTCGACCGATATGGTTTTTTTTCACGCAGATGCCGATACCGATCTTTTGAAATCCGGGTCGGACGATATTTGCTTGGTTTTTAACCTCTATTTGCACCGAACTGAAGCACAGAAATCGGTGCGGTAGATAACGGTCGTTAAGGTTCCAGTGCCGTATTAGCACCGGGTCTGTCTGTAGCTACCCGTTAGCAAAGCAAAGCCAATCTGTCACTAGCCTATAGTGCGTTGGTCTCTTTTTATTACTTATTTCTCTGCATTGAGTGACAACCCTCTCAAATATAAGACACATAAACAGAACAAATAAAAGTCTCAGATTCACTCTGTAATTGCAAAATTATTGCTTACTTATTGTGACATGATAGCAACTCTTCTGTGATAATGCAACTTCAACTACGATCCAAATTAGCCGAATGTCATGTGTCTTATTCAGGTTTTTTCTCGAAGTTGGCAGTAACATATCAAAGGTTTTTAATTAAATATAAAGGAGTAATAAGAATTGAATCCTTACCGTTAGCTCCTTAGGCACTGGATGAGGTCTGCTGCTCACTCGGCTGGAAAAGGACTCTAGCGGCAGCGCGCGTCAAACACGTGTTCCACGACAACACTAGGCTGCCCACAGATGCGCCTGCCTAATAATCGGCTTGATATACTTGGATATTGGCCGATGCCGATTATGGTAAAAAATGCCAAAAATCGACCTCTAATCCTATGTTTGTTTTAACAATTCATAAATGTTTCTGAAATCTTTACTGATGTCAGGAATATTATTTATTTTACATTGGCACTGACATTTTTATATGTACCTCCAGTTATTGAGTTTTTATTGTAGATGAGCTGCTGTAAATCCTGTTGCTGTCAAAATGTAAATATATTCAATACTGTTCTGAATTTAATTATTTTTTTAAAGGGCTGAAGGAGGAATAGGCTTAGAATTTTACTAGTGTTGTTACACTTATTTTAAGGCACAAGGCTTTTATTAAGTTACTTTAATAATCCTAGTTCAAGTGCAAAGATTTTTAGTCAGATTACATAGAAAAGATCAGACCTCTCGACGCCCGTGAAACTTTTCTCCCCCAAACAGACCGAAGTGAACAGAGCACCTTTGTTTGTAGCGTAGAAGTAACGTTAGCTGTCGGCGTGTCGGCCGGAAGCTGATATCACTTCTACAGGCGGGCGACACACAGCAATATACACAACAGCTGTGCTGCTCTCTTTGCAACAATCCACAAGAAGCGGCAGACTCCTCTTACCGGCGGAATCGCAGGTGTCCTGTAGGCAGAGCTGCTGAATCACTAACGGTGTCTGAACGGGAGGGCTCGTCACAGATGAGGTCATCAGTTGAAAGGTCATCAATTGGGTCATTTTATTTACTGTGAAATTATTATTAATTGATTTTACTGATAGTTTGATCAGGCAGGCCTTCACAAACGGGCCTTTACAACTTTTAAAATTAAGGAAATTTTGCACTTTGGGCAGCAAAGGGCAAAAGGGCAGGTGCTCAAGCACCCATTGCACCCCCCTCTGCACGTGTCTGATGGTAAATGAAGTTTATCACATCAGTTGACAATTTATTACTTTAGATTTCAATTCACCTTAAATTTAAACAATGCATGTGAACTGAAATACAGTTTCATCACCTCCTTTTTTTTTTATCGACTTTTTGTTACTTTAACCCTTGAGGCTACCTGCTTTAAATGATGAATGCCAATTTTGGGTTGTAAATGATGATTGATAAATAAAAATGGTTATGTTTTCATGCTATCCCTACTGTTTTAATCAAATCGACTTAAAATTAATCAAATCACTTGAATATTTATCACACTATTTTTCATTTCACATCCATTTTCATCACCTCCTTTTTTATCAATTAATATTTATTTCCAACCTCAGTTTATCAGTGGAGGAGCGCTAACGTTGATAAGCCGTTAAACAATAGTTTCTGGTGTATTCTAAATATATCTGCAGCCGCCTGTCTGCAGTTAGTCGCCGTGTCTGAAATGATTAAACCAGAGCAGACATGTAAATAAACGTTAGCGGAACAAGAATCACACACGGCTTCCTGTAGCTCCTCTTTGTGTGATGTTGTAGATGTGAAACGGCTCTGGTGGCAGTTATAACGTTAGTTAAATGAAATCTCAAAGTTGCAGGTCCTCGTTGTAGACACTCATGTAGTATTAGTTGCATTCAACAGCAGCTCACTGTATCCTATACGGCACGATTTAGACAGATGAGAAATGGTTTCTCTTAGCTTTGGTTAGAATTAAAGAGTGCTGGTAAAGGCATGAACTAGATGTGAATGTGCTACATTGAATTTATGGCAGATTATGTGTAAAGTGAAATACACGTTTATTCTCTCTGTGTTTACAGATGGCTGAAAAAGTTACATATTCCAGCAACAAATATTTATTGATGTGCAATTGTTTACATGTTGTTTACATGTGACTGGAATCTATTTTATTAACAATCTATTTACGAAAAGATTTTATAGCCCACATACATACTAGCTTTCAATATCGGCCTGTTCTAAGTGTAGTTTATACAGGAAAGGGGTCTACTATCCAAATCATTATTAAAATCTAAATATCTTTTTCACTTTAATATCGTCATCGGCCCCCAAAACCCATTTTGGTCGGGCTCTATTAGAAGATATAGAAGAGTAAATGGAGGCTGTTCCACTGTTCACTCATTTCCTGACTAATATGCACTTTGATCTTCAGGTTCCAACAGCGGAGACGTCGTGGAGGGAAACTACGGTCTTTACTACGGACTGGGAAGTTTCGTTTTATTCTGGTTTATTTTGTAAATTGAAAAGATTGTATCATGCTTGAAATTGAAGGAATTATTATTACTACTTCTCCCAAATGAATTGCAATTACGACGGGATAAAACTGATCAAAAACTCTCCAAACACACGTACATGCTAACATTCACTCAGTCAAAGCACCACCCGCTGGCAGCAGGAAATGACCTTTAAAGACACAGCCCCCGCCGCACGTTTCACCTCCATGTATGAAATTTCCACACGTACCAAAAAGCCTCTTGGAGCTATGCCCTAACCCAGACAGGGAGTCAGCCATTTTAAATTTTATGGTCATTTTTGATTGATTTACACACTCCGTACTTTAACAAACCCCTCCTACGGATTTAGTTCGGGCCGGACCTTGCGATCCTTTGCTTCATAAAAAGAAAAAACTTAATCAGACGATGACAGCAGGGATTGTAGTCAATTAGTGGTCGCTGCTTTGCTGCCACCCCGACCACTGGTCACTGCTTTGCTGCCAGGCTGCGCACGCTGAAATAAACCAGAAAAGAGACAAAACTCAGACGATGACAGCAGGGATTGTAGTCAATTAGTGGTCGCTGCTTTGCTGCCACACCGACCACTGGTCGCTGCCACGCCGACCACTTTTTGCTCCAGTTCACTTCAAAGGGAAAACAAAATGAAACCCTCATCTGTGTGGGAGCACTTTAAACTGAATGATGACAACGGCAGTGTCATTTTTGCGTGTGAATTTACAATTAATTCCAGATACAGATAAGAAACTACCTCTGAAACGTTCCGTCAAATAAACCTAAAAACAATCTCAACTATAGGCTGTATAGAGGGTATGCGTTGATGTCACTTCCCCTCCCGACACACGCTGGACTGAATGGCGAAACATCTGTTACCATGGCTACTTTAGCAAACCGGGAGTAAAACAAGTGAATATTTCACATTAAAGGCAGCCGGACTTGACGGTGATCCTAACTGCTTACCAAAGAACCACTGGTGCAGCTCTTTAGCATTTTAGATGTGTTGTTAGCTGATTCGAGCTAACACTGCTGGTCGTCTTTCTGCCACTCAGTGAGGATAACTGTGTTCTGTGACATCATGCGCATACTCTCTGTTTGTGAAATGACCTGACCAGCAGCTGCAGCATAACGTATTTGATATGTGTGTTTAAAAAAATGTGAACCACTTGAAAAACTGGTACGTTCTGGTCCTGACACTTAACAATGACAATTTAAAATGGAGGAGTTGTGCGTCACTCTAAGCTCACAAGCAAAACTCAGTCTGATGGATTCAATAAGCTCGTGTGTAGAACCAGCAGAAAATTTACATCTGTGGTGTAAATATGGTGCATGAAGAGTTAAAATTACTCCTGCTCCTCCAGGCTGCATATCGAAGTGTCCTTGGGCAAAATACTGAACCCCCAGTTGCCCCTGGTGGCTGCTCCACCGGTGTGTAAACGTTAGTTTCTGTCTGAGCACTAAGGCTCAGTGTGTGAATGGTGAATGCGATGTAGTGTAAAAAGACTAGAAAGGTGCTATACAAGTACAGAGCATTTACATTATAAACTAAGGAAAGCGCTAAAAACTTTATATACAGCGATACTGTACAAATATAAAAGCTGACCAACTTGTATTTATAAAACTTGAACTGCTTGTGAACAAGTCTGTAGCTGAATGTATGCCAAACAAGTGACATTTTATGGTGGAGTAGTTATGAGATATGAGAATATTAAGAGATACACTAAGGAGAGTAGGAGAGTGCCTAAGCAAGCTCACAGGAAGCTTTGTGAACTCTAACCAGCTGAACAGCCTCACTCTCTGTTGTTGCCTTTTATTTATTTATTATTATGGATTACTGTTTACATGCATTTTTTACATATTGTTTTTGTACTGTGTTTTTTTTCTTGCTGCATCTGAAATACCAATTCAGTGAATTAAAGAAAAACACAGGGCCTTAGACAGGGAAGTTTTTTTTGTCTCCCTTTCACTTTAATGTTTAAATGATTGATATGATTGCTGCTGCTTTTCAGATGCCACGATGGAGCAGTGCTAGCCAAATTTTTGTCAGTACTGCTGTGCAATCCCATACAGATGTATGTGTAGAATCAGATTCTGCAAACAGTATCATTTCTGCCATGACTGACCAGTCAGCACTTTTCCAGAATGTTGATGTAAATTGGCCTGTGTAATATTGTGGACTGTTTTTTTTTTTCTTTTGTTTATTTATTGTATGTCTGTTTTTTATCTGTTGTGTACCAGGTGTGTCTCCTTAATAAAAGGTTTGATATATATATTTTTAAGCTAATGATATCCAAAGGAAATTACTTTTATTATGCAGAGGAGTTGATTACACTGAAAATTGTAAAACATTTGTTAAATAGGAATAGAAACACATTTCTGAAGTTCAATATCGGGACCAGCTGAAAGTAATTGCTAATAATGTGCATTTACTAACAAACTCAGACAAATGTCTGGGCAGGACACTTTTGGTACTGTTGGGGACAAATAAATATTTTCATATTGCATTTGGAAACTTGACTTGTGTGTTATTGTTTTGGTCCTTGTTGTATTCAGGGCACATTTAAGTCCTGGACATACTTGCCTTTAACTATGCGTTCGCATACGCAAGATGGCTGGATCCTTTGGCGCGTAGGTTGTGCACGTCTCCAGAAATTAAAGCTACGCGTCCGCAAGATGTAATTCAGCACATGACCATGAGGGCAGTATGTCGATCTGACTGGCAGGTCATATAACTTTGCAGCGTGTAGCCTCACGTTATGTAGGCTTGTGCAGCCTCCAACAAAACCATTAATTCATTTTACTCCAGTCACAGATGCTGATCACCCTGGATGACCTCTACAGTAGGTGTTTCCCACAGACCGATTTATTTGTGGCAGGCTGCCACATTATCAACGGGCTTTTTTGTTAGGCTACTATTTAAAATGGGTAAAATCGTATTTGATCACAGAGCTCTGTGCAGCGCACAGCTTATATTCACTCAGCACTTCCTCTTGCCTCGTCTCTCGCCACAATTACACTGTCATTCAGTGGGAAACACTGTTTACAGACAATAACTGGGATTCATGTTGATGAATGTGAGCAGTGTCAGAGATGTGCTTTTTGTAGTCCATCTTCAGAACATTGTAGTTTCATCACGGCAGTAGGCTAATATCTGCTGTCGCATAATTATGTTGCCTAGAAAAGAGCAGTCGGATTCTCTTAGACCCGCCGTCCTCTTTTCCTAAGTCCTTAAGGATTCTCCTTCACATCTTCCCTTGACCTCATGACGTTTTCCATCGATGTCAAGGAAAGGAGACTTTTCGGATGCAACCTTAAGGCATGTTCACACTGAAAGCTAATCCAGGGTTTTGGGCAGCTTGATTACAATTCAATGCAAAGACGCGAATACCTGTGAATTTGACCCGTGCGGCAAATCAAATGAGGCATATGTCGTGAATTTCACTGGTTCATGCGAGTTCAAATTTTTCAACTTTGCTGAGAAATTTGGGTTTCTGGTAGATTTGTGAAAGTGTCCAGACAGGGAGTGTTTCAGATCTCTGTGGGGATGAGATCCAGAGCACAGCAACCCAGCGCTGGTGTATTTACTGTCAGATCTGACAACGGTAAACTTGATTCCCATTTCTTTCACCATAGTCCATGGATTATGACTAAGACCCAGTTACACTTTAGTGTAAACCAACAAATGGTGTTTATTTCTTCTCTCCTCCCTCTCTCTCCTGAACTACGCTTAGATTCCAAGGGGACAACCTCTTCCAGCTCTTCCCAGTCCACCGGGCCACTGCTTGATGTCGTAACCAAGTCAGCACTGTAAGTTTCAGCTTGTGGCTCCAATGCCCTAGTCAGCCTCCTTTGCACAGTTTTTTTGATTCGTAGCTATTTCTGTAGGTGTATTTACTGTAAGTTGTTCATGATTATTTATTTTAGTCAAGAAACCTGGTGGAAGTGATATCATCAAGGCGACGAAAGCTCTGACTCACTCCTTACAGCAACAGATGGTAAGGGATGATCTCAGTATTTTGAAACCTGGGCCCCACTTTCACTTATTTTGGTGTTGAAATGACTCGTAGGTACAGAAAGTTTTAAATCAGTGCAGTAGGGCTGCAGCTAACGATGATTTGAGTATTCAAAGCTTTGATAGATTATTTCAACAATTTAGCGATGCGTCGTTTAACAAGTACTTTGCTTGGCGGCTGCGGTGTTGTGGCGTTCTGATCGGTGACAGGGAGTCACAAACACTGCAAGAGCCGATGGCTGTGTCACCCAACGCTGGTCTCCAAACCACGCTTTGTCAAGAAAACACGTGAAATGCGAAACGGGAAATGAGCGATCCTGCACAGGAAACAGCTGTTGTTTGTTATTATAAAGATGGCGATTATAAAGACAAAGAATCTGGTTGAAAGGATGGATCAGCACACGCAGGTAGCAGGGATTGTCTGAGCTGCAGAGAGAGCTGCAGGTGAGTTAAAAGGTGCAGCTCCCGGACTCAACTCATGACTGTGAGGTTAAAACTCGCAGCCCAAAAAGGAGAACAACAAACGCACGTGTACATTTTCAGCTTACTTTGGCTTCCACTCAACAATCAATCATGACTTCAGTTAAATGCTAAAGTTGCTGTTTGTTACCTTGTCTCTGGCAGAACACCGGCTGCTTTCTGGTCAGGTACCGTCGCTGAGGCGACATAAATTTTGTTTGGGGGTGGACGGACTTTACAGAGTTGTTTTTATTTTTTTCTTTAGCTTGAAATAATCCCATACTTTGGACACTTTCTTTTTTGTCCCTCGCTGTTTGCTCTCTCCTCCTCCACTTTGCAAACAGCTCCATCATAATCACGTCGTGTTCACAGCGTAAGTGTGATGTGCAGAACAGTAACAAATGTCCCTGGGAAACACTGTGCTGTATAGTTACATGGATTAAACGAAGCATCGATGCAAAGAATTTGTGTCGAAGCATTTAATGAATTGATTTTATCGATTTAATCGATGAATCGTTTCAGCCCTGCAGTGCAGTATAATAGTGAGTACTAAGAGAGCTGTCGCACTGCGAAACAGAACTACAAAATAAACCTTGAGGTAAAATGTTTTTATTTTTAATAAATTGTATGGATTACACGGATGTATG